ATCTCTCCGATCTCCCTGGTAAAGAGTGTTTGTATGACCTCGTCTTCGACCTCATCCTGGACAGCCTTACTCTTTCTCCTGGATTCTAACCGGGCTCTGAAATCAATTTTCTCCCCAACGGGATGTCTTCTGAAGTCCTTGAGTTCATCAATAGGCCCCCCATTTCCTGGGCACCGTGTGGATAGGGTTGAATCCTCCTCGGACTCATCTCCCTTCCTCCGTCTCGACAATCCTCATAGCAGGTCGTCTAGGGTTAAAGGTCTTGCCTTTCTGCAATGGTCGTTAAGAGGGTGCTCGTTAGCTCTCGGTCACTTTGGGGCCCTAGAGCTTTCTGCCTTGTTGTTTAGATGATTCCTTAGATCCTTCGTTTTTGCCTCCCGGGCAAGGAGCCCACGAGAAAGGAATGAGTCTCTCGAACCTTCGCCGGAGGCGGCGAATTCGTTGAGTCGGCTTAGGACGTTCACATTGTCCTTTTTCAACTGTCGTAATTGATCCCCAAACTTTTCTTCAATCACCTCCGCCTGTTGACGAGCCAAGGGGGCGGATCCACTTGACCTGATGCCCATACTGGTTTGAGGGGTAACCCCTCTTGACTGAATAGAGATATTTTTATTCCCATAAGTGTGGTCCCTCCCTCCATGGTGACATGAAGCTTGTAATTTGAGACTTCTTTGTTGGGGACCTTTCCCTTTTTGTCAAGTATTCACTATGGTCACTGTTCTTTATAGAGAAGAAACTAGGAAAACTAGTCGTTTCCCACATACGACGCCAAATTGTGCGGGCTAGATCTTGCACAATATAAATACGAGAACAGATCTCTCCCTTAGTGAACTCGAGTGAGTCAGTCGAGTGGTCAACCCTGCTACTTGGAACAGCCTGTGAGGTCCGGTGGTAACCTGGAACGGTAATGAGAGACCCTCGTGGATCAATGGAACGATCCAGTAAGGCTGAGGAAGGTTCCTGGAACAAAGAAAGACAAGTTAGAAGGGCGCCGGAATATTTTTCGGCGTATCCCCTCCAACGATCAAGCCAGTTTTTGAGAGAGAGAAAGAAGAAAACACTGAGTATAATTCGTAGTAAAGGTTTTTTGTTGCATACCATCTTGCCTTTTGCAAGAAGTATTTATACCTCAAATACTCATGATTGTTGTCAGTGTGGTCAGTAGGTGATAATTAGATACAGGCAACGTGCGCACTGATTCCTACGAGGAATGTCTTCTTTTTAACTGCTCGGGATCCCGAGCAACCAAGGCTGCGTCATCGGCCTGCCGAATGTTCAATGAGCTCCTCTCGGCAAGGATGTAATAAATATCCAGCCTTGGAGACATTTATTACTTTTCACTTTCGAGCCTTACCGCATTGAATGTTGTCTTATCAAGGGAATGGTGTAATTAATGCTTGTTTTTCCCAGTCGTATGTCAACAAGTGCATCCAATTTTTCTGTCTCTGATTTGACACAATATGTCACGCATCCATTCCTCATTGACTGTGTCCCCTGCCTTCTTGAGCTTTATGACACCAATTCTGTAAGACGAGGTCATGATGGCTAACCTAGCCTAGCCTAGGCTAGTGACCTGTACATCAATAGCTCTGCAGGAGCAGAGAATGTCATCCTGGACGATACTCCTCGAAACCGAGAAGGGGGTACATCTCGGAGCCGAGAGTAGAGGTACATACAGGGACCGATGTACCATATCAGACCGAGAGATACGTGTCGGTACGTAGACGTACTGGATGCCACTTTTGATCCCTATGACAAGTACCTGGGGGGAGAGGGACTTGTGAACCGATGGGTACGTGATCTCAGTAACAAGGATTTTAGTGACACCGAGAACATGTGTTTTCATCTTGGAGTATTTCGAAAATGTCTCATCATTAAAGATACTATTTAAAACATAGCAAATCGAATGGAAAAAAATGCAGGTAGCTGTTCGTTTGTGCAACCAAGAAGAATGAAAAATTCATGTAGACTATCCGAACCCTAATTGTCTGTGCATAATCATAAAGTAGAAACAAAATAAATTAAAATAGCTCAAAATGTGTGGCCAGATATAAGCTCAATCGACCCTAAACCAGAAAAAGGGTGAGAGATGGCGAACCATAAAGTCCCAGCCGATCCACTTCCGCCGTTACAACTAAGTAACATCCACAAAGTCTTTCGGCGGGCTCGTTGTTGGGCTTCCTGGTACGACGCACTGGGTTGCTAGAATCTTAATTGAGACAATACCTTCTATCTTTCTTTCTCTCTAAATTCGATATGGAGGTAAGAAGTTAGGCACTCAACTAAATTGGTATGTTGGAGAGAGAAAGTGAGAATTGAGTTTGTTGTAGGGACTGGGCCAGAGATTCTTTGTTTCTTCTATGGTCTATTGCAGACTATAGACTTTCTAGAAGTGATAGATAGATTGAGAGAGAGAGAGAGAGAAAATAAAGAAAGAATTATGGGAGGAATAGGGACTGGCTTTATGAAGGGAATATGAAACATGCAAATGGGATTGTTGAGGCTTTCATCCAATTGAAGCTGATGGCATAATGTGAGAGACCTTCGGTTTCTTCTTCAACGAACGTAAGAAGAGAAGGATTGGGTAATCGAAATACTCATCAGACGGAATCAAAATGGGCACCGTCTCTTGGTTGTTATGAACTTATGATCGATAAACTTGGCTTTATATCATTAGTTAAGGTTAAAGTCGAAAACTAAAAGTTTTTCTCATTTAAGTACTTTTATAGGTAGTATATGATTATTTTTGCAAGGCACAAACGTTTAACTCTCGAGTAATATTGTTATTATGAACTATAAAAACGGATTTAATTTGTTGACTTAATAATATTACCCGTATTGTAACTCTTAAATTTTTCATTGAGATTCCATCACTTTTTTTTTTGATAGTTAAAAAATGGCTGGAGGCAAAGGAAAGTGTTTAGAAACTACCTCGATAAACCCTCCTTAGTAAAATCATGAGGCTCCTGATCGCATCCATTACACAACTCAAGAACGAACCTAACTAGGGTAGTATAACAGTAAACCACCGAGCACCAATGAAAACTCCAAGATTGGAACCTCTAACCTTAGGGGAGAAGTTCGGTTGTATCCCACTGGACCACTCCTAGACATTATTATATCAATAAATTAAATTAATTTTTTAAATCTCAATAGCATTACAATTACCTTTATTGATTGATTCTATTGATGTAAATAGGTATGCCAATTTTAAGGAAATGTATCTCCAGTTGTTTGGTTATCAGTAGTAGTCATCAGCGCTGATCATGAAACTTAGGAATTCAATCAATTATTTCAACAAAAAGGATAGGAAACTTCTTGTCAAGATTTTCATGTACCGCAGGAATTGAGAGACATAAGCAGTAGGTAAACTTCTTGTCACTTTGAAATATCTAATTTTTTAACTTAAATATATCATATGTCGATTATATGGATAAATACTTACAATTGATCCAAATTCGAGCGTAAGTAAATAATCGATCACAAAAAAAATGATGTCTACCATAGTTTATACAAATAATTATTGTTCTGTACTGTAATTTTTACCCAAAACACAATTAAATAAATAGGTCAACATAAAAATCATGCGGGGAACATTTCCATGAAACCTCCATCGAGAAACAAGTTGCCACTTTTCAATCAATCAAACTAGCTCCGGCTAAAGATTTTATAAATTAATGTTCCACTTTGAAAAGTAGAATTGATTTTAGAGTGGATTGAGTGCAGTGGAATTCGTGTTGCTACAGTGTGTTCTAAAGACTTTCCTTTCTTCTTTGGAATGATTGACAAGTGGAAGATTGTTTCTCGTTGGTGGTTTCTTTCATGGAAATGTTCATGATTTTTATGTTTACCAATTTATTTGTGTTTTGGGTAAAAACAATAATACAGAATAATAATTTTTTTATGCAAATTATGGTATGCATTATTTTTTGTGATCAAGCATTTATTTATTCTTAAATTTGCATCAATTATAAGTACTCATCTATGTAATCGACACAGTTTAAACATTTTATAAATTAATGTTCCACATTCAAAAATAGAATTGATTTTACAGTTGAAATCGCAGTAGATCTTCAGATAAATTACACTCACATTCCTTAACATTTGGTCTTATTGTAAGAATATCTTCCCACATTTTAAAAATTACACTAAGACCCTTTGACTTTTGAAACTTATATCAATCAAACTCCCTCCAACTAACAACATTGGAATGATTCACGTCACAAACAACATTGGAATGATTCACGTCACAGCTGATGTCATCGATATTAATTCCTAAAATATCAAAAATGCCCTCCAAATATATATTCTTATCCCCCAAAATTTCATTTCATCTCTCATTTATTAAAATTTTTTCAATTAAATGTTATATTTCACATTTAAACTAAAATTAAATGTTGAATTAATCACCCTAAAATTAAATGTTGAATTAATCACCCATCGCCGCCTCCACACCAAAAACCACCACCATACTTCCCTAAAAATCACCACCACCACCTCCTCCTCCTCTCTCTCTCTCTCTCTCTCTGCACAGAGCACCACCACTGGTAACGGAGTAACCCTATCACCGGTCCACCACCTCCACAACCACACAACACACACACAACCACCACAGTCCAGCAACCCCACCACATTCTAGTCCAACACCTTCATTTTCACCTCCTCAACGACACCACACGCAACCCAACAAGACTGTTAACTCCGTCTTTGATCAATTTTACCAGTAAGCATGTGGTTTTGTAAATTGAAACGTCTTAGTCAAAACAGGTTCCGCAATCTCCACTTTTTCTGCTGCAAAATCTACATACACTTCTCTTACTCACTTTCCCTTTTGAAAGATACCTTACAAATCTAATTCCAAAAGCATTCAGAAACACAGAAATTGAGTAGAATGTACCGAGCTAGTTCCACAGTAATGGTGGTTCTTCTTCTTTATTCTGGTTCTTGTTTAGGATTTTCCTACCAAGTTCCGTTTGGGAGCCTTTTGGGGCCATTTCTAGATGGGGGACAAAAAAGGAGAGACTACCAAGAAACAGCAACAGCAACAACAACATCTATCATCTTCTTCTGATGACCCAGTTCTGGAATCAACAGAAAATATGCAACAGCCGCAGTCGCACCACCAGTCACTGCCGGTGGCGGTGGTGGTTTTCCGGAGCCCTGTTTATCTCTGCTCCCTTGTACATCCCTAGTGGTGCAAGTTTAGGGTCCGCCGCTCCAAAAACAACAGTTTGAAGGTGTTAATCCAAAAAGACCAAGATACGCTAGCGGTCAATGGAAGCTCATACCCTCTTTTTTTTTATTTTTAGCTCATAACCTCTTCATCTCAACAACAGCAGACCCAGATCTACGCATCGAATCCTTTCAATTTCTCATATTTGGATGGGGTAGCTATGGAGGGTATTGCAGTGGTGGGGGAGGGTTTAGCAATTTTCACTGGTTCTTCTATATATATATATATATATATATATATATATATATATATATATATATTTTAAGATTAGCAATTTTAGTTGTCTCTATAAAGGGTCACAATAAACAAGGGTCACAATAAACAAACAAGGGTCACAATAAACAAGGGTCACTACCCCAGAAATAAAGCTTGGGGGCTCATATACAAATGTTTTGTTTTTCCAACTTCTAAAAGAGGAAATAGAGTTGAGTCTTGCCGATATTTAAGAAAGTTTACTTACATATTTTTTCGCTTAAAAATATTATATCATTCATTTTTATTACATGCTCAATTATTTTAATATTTAATTAATTTATAGTTAAATATAATTTTTATTTTAAATATTATTCATCTACAATAGTATACATATGTTAAAATTTTTTATCAAATTACATATTTTAAAAAATTATTATTTAATATAATAAAATATATTTTTTTAGACGCTCAAGTTTTATATTTCATCAAAAATTCGGACACAGGATATTGAGCAGTATATATACAAGTTTGATTTGGTGCAAGACAAAATGCATATATACTAGCTTCTTGTATTTGCTCTCTCTCTCCGAATAGAGCCAACAGAAAAAATGGCATACAAAGCTGCTTCTTCACCTACATTCATCATCATATGCTGCTTTTTCATGATTTCACTCATTATTCTCCAACTAATGATGTCTGCGAGAGCAACAGGCCCCAGTCACCGTTATGCAGGTAGATGCATGTAGAACCCTCTCTCTCTCTCTCTCTCTCTCTCTCTCTCTCTCTCTCTCTACTTCCCGTTTATTGTTCTCGCCGGTTTGCGTGTAGGAGGAAACTGTTCACCTGAAGCCCCTCATTTACGTGGCATGGATCCCGCCTGGTGTCGAAGAAAACGGAATATTGAAAAAGATGGCATCCGTCCGTAAGTTGGAAAAGAAGAAAAAAAGGCCTTAAAGTTGGGGTTCTAATTCTACGTGTTCGAAGCGAGAAAAGACGAAGGTTATGTTCTGTTTAATTAAGTCAATAAATTATATTTAAATAATATTACTTTTCTAAAAATTAGTGTTCTCAAAAGAAATAATTTCATCACTATTTTGTAAGCGTTTGCCGGCTGGAGAATTCACCGAGAGTTGGACTCTTTTGGAATGACAAAGGGCTCTTCTACTGGAGAGTTCACGAGTCTTTTTTTGTGAGAGGAGAGAGACAAGAAAAAATTGGTAAGGAATAATGGTTTTTAAGGGGAAAACCATAATAGTCCGTCCCGTAAAATGGATGAAAAAATTGAAGAAAAGAAAATGAGACTAATGAACTTTCTATCAGTAGAATCATTTCTTCCTTTGTGTTTGATAAAGAGTGTAGAAAGTAGAAATGATTGATTTGTTTGAGATTGACAATGTCAAAAAATATTTTTTTTATTTTTTATTTTTTAAAAATTTAATTTTTTTTTACTTTTTTATTTTGTATTTAAAAAAAAAAGATAAATATATATTTTACTATTATATCTATGTATGAAATTAATGTATCAATAATATGTAATTGATAAATATGATATATATATATATATATATATATATATATATATAGAATATATAGATAAATAACATACATTTCAATACACATAATTAACTTTTCATCCATCTTTATTTCCAATTTTGGAGTGATTGATTCATTTATCTTAACGTTTTTTCTATTTTCTTTCCTTACAAAACATGATATTTTATTTATCCTTTAAACTTTCTATCTTTCCTTAGACTAAAAATAAAAAAATTATTTTTTCATTGTACCAAACAAAACAAAAGAAAATACCAAAAAAAAAAAAAAAGAAGAAGATAAAAACATGAACCATATCAAATTATAGAATAGTGACAGTAAAATATTTTTGACACTAAATAAAAATTTTAATGGTGACCAAAAATATTACCTTCGAATTGTATTTACCGACAAGAATAAATAATGGTCACGTTTTTTTTTCCAAATTTTTAAAGAGGAAAGAGAATCGAGTCTTGCCCTTACATATATATAGTTTTATTTGGCGCAAGACCAAGGATGCCTCAGCAATATTTGGAGTCTAAAGCAATTACAGCAAATGAGACTTTTTTATTTTCGTAATAATAATTTAATTTTTCAATTTAAAATCTATTATTTTTACTTTTTAATAAGATTCGAAATTGCTAATTGTTTTTTTATTCAGATTTTACTAATATATTTTTTTTGATTAATAATATGACTTTTGATCATAAATATTTATAGGAATAAAACTAATTTCTTCATTAATATTTATATATTCTTTTTATTTGTTTTATATGTTCTTTATTAAAACTGTGGTATTAGATAATTAATTTTATTAGAAATAAATTCATTGTTATCTTTCTTTTGAATTATTTTACTATCTTTGAATTTTATTTATTTATCTATGCAACTTTCTTCTAAATTTTTTTTTATATTTTATTAGTTAGGAATAAGAACTTTATTAAAATATTTTTTTAATGAGAATGAATGGTTTAATTGAGGTTGTGCGTTCAAATGAGAGAAAAAAAAATGTTTAAAAGAAATAGAGAATGTGTTTGGTTTGAATTTTTTTTTTTTAACTAAAGATAGATGTTTATTACATTTCTTTCGATTGAAAAAAGAGATAAATTTTGTCAGTATTTTTTTTTATTAATTCTTTTTTGTTCTTTAATAAATGTGATTGAGTGATGTGATTTGGACTTTTGGGCTCAAATTTTTAATTTTTTTTGATAGTTTACTCTTTTAAAAATTATTTCGTTGCACTATTTTTTAGGGAATTTTATTTTTTAGCTTATATTACATTATGCATCTTTAAATTTAGAGCTTTTTTCATATGTGGGCCGAAAACCCAGGCTTTTATTTTTATTCTGTAGGGCCGGCCATGACTTCTTGTATTTACCATCTCTCTTTAAAGTTGGTGGTTTAGTGTAGTCAAAAAAAATATATATATATATATATATATATATATCATCACTTTTTTGTAAACGTTATTTATATGAATCTTATTACATACACAATAAGTGTATGTGTCTATTTACTCCACAGGAAGGGAACAAGATACATCCCGAACGATAAGATGAAACAAATATTATTAATTGAAAACACTTTCTGCAATGCTTACTAATTTTTGAGAATTTGAGACCTCAATAGTTTTTTGTTATGAAAAATAAGACTTAAACGGGTGGTCCAGTAAGATATCGGCCAAACTTTTCATTGAAGTTTGAATCTTGGAGTCTATATTAGGACTCGCTGGTTGATCAGTATACTAATATAACTCGGTCCGTTCTCGACAGGAGTAATTAGCGCGATTAGAGATCTCATGATTACACGATTGAGAATCTATCGGAGTGATCTTTGGACGCTCTCATTTGCCCTATCCCATTTTTTCTTATCCAAAAAAAAAAAAGAAAGAAAAGAAAAAAACAGTGGCACATGCAAATCATTGTCAAATATATTTGTTTTTTATTTCATCAGGCCAAGCCAAGCAAACAAAGTTACATATAATAATTAAGAGTCTGCAAGGAACTCTCTTTCTCCTGAAGTCTCATTCATTCAGCATCAGTGCTTTGCTGCTGGTTTGCCACCCTTGGCCTACAGAAATCATCAAACAAATTAGTGATTGGATCAAACTAGTTGGGACAATGATATGTTGAGTCGAATTGAATCGAGTCTATCAATCTCCAAATAAAATGTAAAAAAAATATCAAACCCTTCTTAGTAGGTTCCTGAAAACATGCTTTATACAATCATGTCTACCTTCTTCTTAGGTTCTTGAGCCTTCGGGGCAGCCTTCTTCGGGGCCGACTTTGAGGCAGGAGCTTTGGAAGAAGCATCGCCAGTCTTCGCCGGCTCTTTCTTGACCTGCCCAAAGAGTTGGGTGCCAATAGGTTTATCAGCCTTCAATGACGCCATTGTAATTCACACCCCTTTAACAAAGCTTATGTAAACAACTGGACTCAAGTATTATCTGGCCTAGAATGATAATCTATTTATAGCAGAGTTTACAACAATGAAAAAGGAATTCGAATAACAGTAAGAAAGAAAAAAAAAAAGGAATTATAATCGCAAGTTACAAAAGATGGTGGCAGTGGAAGACAATGGAACAACTGATTAGGATAGCTCGTGAGGCTAGGATACAGTATCAGATGCTTTGCTTAGCTTTTCCCCATTGGCATAAATTTTACAAGCCAATCTTTGAAGCATATCCTGCTGTATGCACAGAGCTCATTCTTTGTATTTTTTTTCTGGCACAATTTGATAATTTTATGAATAAATTGAGTGAGGGGTGGCTCAGGCAATTTGAAACCTAAAACGATAAATGAGGCATAAGAAGGACATGCTAGTGTTGCCAAGAAAAATGTTTTACTTCGGTTTTTGTTTTTGTTTTTTTACGAGAGAGAGAGTTTAAAAAAATCAAGCTATTTATTTTCCAGTTTCCAAATGTAATTCCACTTGGAAGTAATATTTTGCAGTAGTCGAAATACCAAATATAACCATCACCTTGGAAATAGTAAAGGCAGGGCTCCAATGTTGCTTCAAAATATCAAGACAAATGCTTCCATTGCTGTTAATATTAGGGTGAAAAACCTTCATCCTGAAAGCAACCTGTTAAAACCATCCAAACTATATCAGAAGATAGAACTTTCAAAAAGAGAAAAATTCTTGCAACACAAGCATAAGAAACTTTTCACAGACGAAGCAGATATTGTGCAGATTAGAGCCCCCACTCAGTTGTAAATATAGATTTCAAAAAGACATTATTAAGGGTTACTCTTTTATTACTGGCCAGGCCACTATCAAAGTATCAGATCTAAAAGATATGAAAATAGGATTTTAAGGGTCAATGTACTCCAACACAACTTGGGCAGAAGTTGTTCCCTTTCCCTTTAACTAACCATACAGTAAATCCCTCTGCATATCCCAATTCTCAACATGTTTCTGTGGGATTGATATCCTTGATGACCAAAAAACAGGACCATGCCTGCCAAAGGTGTAGTAGTAAACTATTTGTAACTTTACAACAAGGAGTTTGGGGGAGAACATTGGTTGCTAGCCTTGCATCTTTCCATTTGCCTCCTTGGCCCTGGTACCAGTATCAAGCTTAATTTTGATGTTCCTTTTGAGCCTATGATGAGTAATATAAGAGTTGCACTGGTGGTAAGATCTCAATTTGGGAACCTAATTGATGGCAAAGTCTTTTTTATGACATCACCAACCTAGGTTTCAAACACCAAAAGAATGCAGAGGACATGACTTGCTGATCCCATCATTGGACTTCTAATCTACCTCATCATGTCAGCATTTACCAGATAGTGGCTTCTATTTCGGGCAAAAATCCATTCATTTTCTAACAAAAATATAGACATATCAAAGTACGAAGGTCACTTATCAAAAAATATGAAAAGCGAGCAAACAAATGATATATCAACAACATCAATATCACCTTGCAAGAACAACATAAATAGGGGTATGACAGCCTACCAGTTATGTGTCCTACGTATAGGTGAGAGACGCACTTTGTTCGACCATTAAACAATACAAAATAAATTACTACTCCAAGTTGCATATCTTTCGTATATTGTATAAAACTGACAAAAAAAACAAAACAGATCACAGCTGACAGCTTAGGAAAATACTATGATTGCTTGAGATGAAATGCAAAGATTCTTAATTTCTGAGGAAAAAATTATGATGCATGATTTCCTGTTTGTCATCTTAGTTGTTCCTTTTATTTTTCTCTTATTTATGGTAGCATGTATAAGGTCTACAATGATTCCCCTGACATTTCTACCTCAAGAAATGCTTGTGGTGATGGCTTCTAATACCTCCAACTCATGTATATTTGAGTAGTAGATGGTTTTTGATCATGTTATATATGTGATATATGCATGTCCATGTCGAAAAGTCATTTTCAAGTAAGAATATTCATGGTGAGAGTTGAAGTGTGAACTGAGTTGTTTGATAAGAAATATGAGAGTTGTTGGAAATTGGTGGTTAGTTTAGTAGTACTTAGCAAAACTAGTCTTTGAATTCCTCTTGATTGGAATAGACCACTACATGAATCGAGCCTTGGGAATCAGGACATATGCATTAAACAGGGGTGAGGTGAGAGAACCTTTTTGACAAATCTTTTTTCTCTGTAAGAGTGAAAAAAATAATAATAATGGGGAAGAACTCTAAATTGTAAGAGTCACTGAACAATTGCTATGTAATCTTAATTAATTTGTCAAAACTTGGGGGAGCAGTTGCACTGGTCATTCTTCAGAAGGCTCGATCGATTTAATGATTTACTGCTTATCGATCTTCCCTATATTCATTCGTGAATGTACTCCTAATGGGTTGAAGACCATACCAATCGGTCTTTAATCTTGCAACTAAGACATATCTTGTCTGGTCAAAAATTTTTGAAATGATACCCTTATTTTCTTGTCTTCTGGCTATTTATCCCATGCTTTGATTTCAGGTTTTGGTGCATGAATGATTTTTCGATTATAACTAGAACACCCCCCCCCCCCACCCCTTCCATATTTGCTAGATAAAATTTTTATGTAATTTGAGTTAGATTATTTTAATTAAAAATGAAAATACTTGATTCTTTTTCTTATCCCTAAGTGATACCAAAGTAATTGTGATTCTATAAGCCAAAATAGGTCGAATAAGTTACCCTTCAGGAAATTATTGTGAATATAATATGTATGAATGATAATGGACTTAAGATTATATACCAATTCGGTGTGACAACAAGTGGTCCATAAGGGAATTCTTTTTCTAGGCCTAAGTTCTATGTTCCAATAAAGAATAAAAAAAATCTTAGTCTAATAACTGTCTAGTGCTCAGTTATCTAGATCATTGTAACAAGAAAATACTGACAACTAGAATTTTCAGGAGAAATTTGTATTGGCAATGTTTGCACATAGGACTCAACATGTTTAAAAGGCCCAGTCTATAAGAGCTTTTGATTTAGAAGTTTTGAAATAATCTCTGGGAGCTGGTTTTCTTCAGCGTCGAGAAGCAAAATTCTTGATAAACAATGGTTCTGGTGAGGAAGGAAGTTTGTCAAATTTGTTTGATTCCCCAAACTAACAAAATAATCAAATAACGACGGTGTTTCAATTTTCCAATGTGTTTGAAAGATGTTTTATACTAATCACTGTAAGGAACCGTATTTATAGTACTATTTGGAGAAAAGATTCTACCAGTGCAGTAGCAAATGACGTAATCTGATCAAACTGGTTCATTGGGATCAATTGAGATTTACAAAAATCCTATTGGTTGATTTTAGTGAGCTGTGATAGGGAGATTCATTAGATGATGGGATCAGAAATTTCATCTTTGAGACAGTTGGCTTGAAAGTAAAAAAGCATCATATTATAGTTGTTTTAAGAGTTGTTCTTTTGAGGAATGTTGTTGTATAAGATTGCGGCCTCTGTTCTTGGAGAAAATTTACTGTTTACTGCACCAAGTTCTAGTTTCAAAAGCTCAATATTTGGTTTACATGTGCCTAATACCGACATATGAAGGTCATAGTTTCACATGATTCACCTCACTTTCACTGGTGTATGAGTGTTGAAAATTTTATATTCCTGTAAATTTTTCCCTCAGAAACCAATTGAGCATTATCTTTGGCTACTTGAACTTTCAATCAGGTCAATATCCTCTATGCATAGAAAAAGATCTCCTTATTCGTACACAGCTCAGACCATATTAAAACAGTGCAATAACTATATCATTCTTCAAATATATAGGTTTTTTTTACAAGATTAGGCCAAGCCATACATAGAGAGAGATCACAAGCCAGAGATTTTATTTTATCACTAAAAATAAGGACAGAAGGCAGCTACTCCAGATACAACATATCATCGCAACAATGCTACGCGTCCTTGTTCTTCTTACTTCTTTGCTGCTGACTTGCTCCCTGATGCCTAGAGCACCATTAAAATGTTAATCAGGGTAACTCTACAAATAATATGAACATGAATATAATTGTGCTTATATATGCATACTCTGTATATGTGTACATGTACCTTCTTTTTAGGCTCCCGAGGCTTCTGCTCGGTCTTCTTAGGAGCCTGCTTGGAGGTTGGAGCTTTGGCAGGCTCTTTCTTGGCCTGCCCAAGTGGTTGAGAACCTACAGGTTTGTCAGCCTTGAGTGATGCCATTCTTTGTGATTTTAGCAGCACAAGAGATCACAAGCTTGTCTACCTTGCTGGCTCTTCACCGAGCACCTTAAAACACATATTTATTGTGTTTTGAAACTGTTCTGTGAAAAAAAAAAAAAAAAAGCAACTTTGTGGCACTAGGTTGTGAAGTACAAGATATTGATACCATTTGAGGGAAGGGAATAATTGAACTGGAAGCCTCTTGAAAGATGTTGTATCGGATTCTCTTCCAATGCTGACATTATTGTAAGGCTTATTCTAAAGCATTACAGATATTTTTAAGAGTTTAGTCTGAACCAACGACTCAATTCTAACCAGCACTGAGACATCTTTTGAAGGGATTTTTCTATTTCGAATAAACACTAGCAATTTCAAGTGTAATGAAGCATAATTTGATTTGTCTCCACTTTATATCGATAGCCTACTTGCTCAAGCATCTTTTGTTATTTAGAAGACATACAAAACTTTAATAACAGCACAGAACAGATGACATCAAAAGGGTACGCAGCTTCTTGCTATGGTTGTTGGCGAGGCACCACTCACTAGGTCCACCACAATAGAGAAGAGGTCATTAAAATAATGCACACTGTGCATCCAAAAAAAAAAAAAAATTTACTACTACTATGGTTCAGGCAAAAGGCCCGATAAAGGAAAAGAATTGCGAAAAGGAATGAGGGTTAACGTAAGAAGAAAATATCAGTTATCTCATGGTTTTGAGCCTTACTGGATCGATCAAGATCAATATTGCTTTACATACATCAAATTTAACTGTAAGACAGAACTTGTGGAACCAACTTTGCATAGCTAACAAAGGAAAGATGTCGGCTAAGATGATTCACATTTGATGTAACAACAAAAGACTTGCTACCTTTTGATTTGCGCCCTTATACACATTTAAAAGGTGAAAAAAAATTGGTTTCATTGGCCTGATCTAAACAATATTTGCCTTAACACAGAATGGTATAAAGTACTTGTGAAGACAACTCTGTTTACTGATTGCAAAGCATTCAGAAAAGTAGATTTTATTACTTAGCTGTGGTAAGAGAGTTTTGTGCACTTCCCTCAGAGAGATATGTTGATGTTTATCTGAAAAGAAGAACGCTTGCTTTTGGTAAGAAGCTAAGAAAAGAGGCTAGATTTACAGCTGAATAGAAGCCAAATTATTTTGGTCATTCTTGCTTAATTTACTTCCATTCACTTCCTGAGTAGCTGCATAATCAAAATTTGAACTTTTTAACGAGCAAAAGGCTTATGCAGGTAATCTGTATAGCCCCAAGCTGCGCACTGCTGTATGATTAATTGAGTTCATATGAATGACCAAGTTTACAGTAAAATCGCAGTACCTAGGCTAAGACAAAACTAATGGCTAGCATATAGTGTCACTCAAGAATGTGATAGTCTTTTCTGACTCTTGGATCACATAGCCATTAATCTTGCTAGGTGACCATTGCTTTGTGCAATAGTAATATTATTTCTGCAAATTATGGTTAAGGTTGGGTTTATTTCTAGTCTAACTCATATAGCACATTGCAATGGCAAAACATAATTGGACAATAACCTTTCTGGTTTTCTTTCTCCTTCCACTTTCTATTACTTCATAGTTATCGCTAGAGAATCAAAGGTTAGACATTTCAGTACAAATTCACTTACATTTGTTTCAGATTACAGGACACAAAGTGTTCCACAAATTCATTGAGATTTACAAATTGGGGTGTTAATATAGCATCGCTCCATCGAGGTCATCTAGTCATTTCTTGGGAAATCTTGATCAATTCCATTAGCTTCAACAGATAAGCTTCAGTCTCTGCCTAATATTAGCATATATAGTCAGTGAGGTTGCCCCATCCTCATCAATGCTACATAAGCCAAAAGCCTATATCCCACCAACATTACAACCAAAGCAGCCACATCCCACCACTTATTGTCAAGCCCCAAAAACTTAATCCCCGGGAAATCGAGTACCCTGCAATGCCCTCCTAGGCTACATTCATAAACCTCATTCTCCGAATACTGCACTCCCACAAGAAGCTTATAACAATAATGAGGAAATGATATGTATTTCAACCAAGCTATAAATGGCGGAATGTGCTGAATGTAGTATCCACTGGCTATCAAGAACACGAGGATGGTCACAGAAGACAACGTCGTGGCCTGCTTCATATCCATTAGAAAGGCCCCGAGGGCTAGCCCAAGTCCTTGAGAGACCAGCACATTTAACAGGATGATCAAGAGGGTTAGAGTGAATGTAACAAGCGAGGGCTTTAGGCCTCCCATCCAATATGTGATGGTTACAAAAATGGTTGGAAGCACAAGTTCCATTGGAAAGTCACCAGCCAAGCGGGCAAAGTAATAGGAGGAGAGACGGTACATTCCTGAGGCTTGCTCTTTTATTAGCATTGGCCGCTCTTGTGGGAACGCGAATATGGCACTTGACAGAGGCAAGAAGCCCCAGAAGATTGCGAGGAAGAAGAGAAGTCCCACCTTGTGAAAATTGTTCTTGTTAGCAAAACAAACATAGATTTAGAAGTGAATATTAATTGGAGCAACCACAAGAAAGGATGGTTTCTCATCAGCAGTAGACTTAGTTATACATTGAGAGTAAACAACCTAGTCGATCAAACTATTATCCAACATACCCAATGAATAAATTATGGCCTGTGTTTGAATAAGAACTGGAAACAGTCATGTCATGTTGAAATTAATTCACCTCATACTCAACTCATTTGTATTTGGCCTTATGTCATGTCTTATCGGCCTAGTAATGAAGCCATTTTGACATCACAACCAGTTAATGACCAGGACCCATAAATTGTAAACCTGTACTCTTAACTTCGTGTGATATTCATGACGGGTCAATGGATTATGTTAAGAATTGCTAGCCTTAGTATAAAGTACCTGATCTTGTATATGGTTAATGTGACAATGCCACCATAAGAGTCCTGAAAGAAACGACACAGACATGACCTGGAAAATCCTTAGACCCGAATACGACTCATGCCTTCTTTCATTAAGTCCCCTTCTCAGCAGAACCTTGAATTGCAACCACCAGCTGGTGGTCCATTGATTCTCACAACCTGCAATACATTGTTCATAAATCAACTGTATGCAAATATAAAGTGTGGGTCTTAGTAAATGCACCTTATTGACACCACCACAGATGTCTTGTGAGCTAACACTTAGGCAGGTTCAACAACCAAATGGACAAGTACCAATATTTCATTTCAGGATGCTCAAAAAGGTCAAAACCTTTCCGTTTCTATGGAAATTGAAACGAATCAGTAATGTTTCAAGGTGTCGCCAAATTTTCGAAATGTTTCGAAATGTTTTGAAAAATAAATACCAAAATTTTTTATTCATCTGTTATCGAAGCATTTTCCAAACATTTCGAAACATTTTTTCGTCTGAGGTCACCGAAATGAGATTTGATCCTTGACAATGGACTAAATTTTCACTTACCTCTCCATGAAGATGTTCCTCCAGAGCTAAGAGGGTCTCTGCAACTTCGATGAATCTCATCCTTCAAGGCAGGGTATAAGTTCTTTTTGTACGACGATATTAGGGACTGTTTGGTTGAATTTTGATCATCATCATGGTTTGTTCTTCCATGAAATTCCTGTTGATCATCATGCCTTGTATCAGGACATACACCTTCACATTCGAGAGAGTTTTTAGTGTTTAAGGCGGAAATAACTTGAGTAGAATGCAACAAAAATAAAGGGAAAATTAAAGTTCTTGTGAAATAAAGACCTCAGATACTGAACTTGGCCATTATTTTTGAGTATTTGAAGATACATATACAACTGAAAATCTGCTAATTAACTTCATTTCTTTGTATTTGTTAGTGTTAGACAATCTAAAAACAAAGACTAGAGAAGTGTAATGGGGCCAAGAGAAAGTAAAGTTGAATGATGCAAAAGGGAACACCTTTAATCACTGGCCAGAAAAAAGATAAGGTTAAGAAGAAAAGTTCAGTTGGAATTCTGCTTAGTAGAGCCTAACTGACTTTATTGTTTTTTTTTTTTCCTTTCCGAGACTTTATTGTTTTTTCTACTAAATAATTAGCTGATTTAAACAAAAAATTATGATAAATGATGTGTATATCAAAACTCTCACCATATTTTGTGTAATAAATGAATGTAGATGGCTGGAACGTTTTGAAAAAAAATAATCCCTCTAATACAAGAATACAATATTGATTTGATGAATAAAATTTAGTACGGAATTCAATAAGAGTAGCATTATTCAAAATTAAAACCTATATGCTTTTTTGTGTCATTACCAGTGGCATAGTTTCAGGGCAACCATCCTAACTTATTGGTTTAAGTACATATTTCGACAGCTTGATTTGCTAATATACAGACAACTCTCTGGGTGATTGAAAAGACCAATTACAGCTAATAGAAACATTAAGCAACAGGGAAGAGAGAAAGAGAGAGAGATGATTATCAACCATTTCAAATGCCCAATGTTGTAGGGAACATCTATAATGTCACGTTAATACTTAAAGGTTGCAACTTTTAGCTTAACTTGAAGATATCTGATTTTCACCAAAAGACAAACTGTTAGACATTTGCGGTTTTAGAACAACTTTTTCAGAAAATAATTGACTTTACTATACAAGATTTAACAGATATAGACAAGTTTCCACTTGGTTGACTTAAACCATAGACTTCTGTGAAGCTAAGTTTAAGCTTTACTTGTAATTTGCTCTGCAAGTTGTGAAATTATCAAATCATATCAATGAGTTTGGATTATTCCTAAGTATCAATAATGCGGCTGACCTAGTCCTCGGGTAGGTCGAGTTCCTATTGTGCTATTATATTTAACTAGTGTCGTTAGATTAGTAATTTATTCTAATATATTATATATGGTTTACTTTTTTACAAAATGATTAATTATTTGAGATATTTTTTGTTATTTTGAAATAATTTAATTTTTTATGGAACAATTATTGAAAGAGCAATGTTGTTTGAGCGGAACTTACTGACGTAATTCATTACAGCAACTAGAAGTTTTTCCACTATAAACCCGATAATTATAGTAAAATGGTTGAAAATTTAAGTTCAAATAATATTACTCGTTATTGAAATATTAAAAAAAAAAGCCAATATTAACTAGGTATTAGGAAGAAATTCCATACCACTAGCAAGATCAAGCAAGAAATCAGCAGGGTTGACAAAATTGAGTCCAGGCATGTAACCCATGGAACCAAAATACTCCATCACCCGACTGGCACTCCCACTGTAAATCGGACATCCCTCCGACAACACCACCACCTTATCAAACATCGTATACAACCTACTTGAAGGCTGATGAATTGTTGTAATGACAGTCCTCCCTCCTCGTGCCAAACCACGAATTGTACCCACAATCCGCTGAGCCGTGGTTGAGTCCAACCCTGAAGTTGGCTCATCTAGCAACAACAGGTTTGGATTCACCAGCATCTCATGCCCAATGCTCACCCTTTTCCGCTCACCGCCCGATAGTCCCCGGAGAAGAGGTCCCCCGATGACACTGTTCTGGCATCCAGTCAATCCAAGCTCCATGATAACCAATTCAGCTTGTTCAATTTTCTCTTCTTTGGTCAGCTTGTTTGGAAGCCTTAGTAAAGCTGCATATGTTAAGGTTTCCATCACTGTGAGATGAGGGTATAACACATCATCTTGTGAAACGAAACCTGTTTTTCTCTTCATGGAGCAAGAGAAGGGTTGTCCATTGTATGTTATGGTGCCGGAAATTTTTCCCGGTAACCTTCCGGCTAGAGCTGTTAAGAGGGTGGTCTTGCCGCTGCCGGAGGGGCCGAGCATTGCTAGTAGTTCACCTGGTCGAACAATACCGGTCACACCATTGAGTACTGTGCGAGTGGTTGCCTTTGGTTCAGATGAAGAAACACAGTTTCCTTCATTAGTCTGCAATTTAATGGTGTATGCCACGTCTTCAAACTGCAACAACACACACATATATGTAAGTCCAATTGCCATGGTAAATGAGGGTTAAACTGAAGGGAAAAACACACACACACACACATACACACACAAGATCAATATTGCCAACTTCAGTACACTAAAGCAAAGTTCAAATTTTTTAGCAAATCAAATAGGTGACTTCGATACTTCTTTTTCGGTAAGTAAGATGATTCTACTAACACGATTTCGATAACGTAAGAATCAACAAAGACCTTCAGTGTTACGGGGCGTAATGATTCACGTAGAACCGAAAATCTAGCCGGGGCTGCTTGTTGTTGGTCTGGCATTCGATCATCCGAACAAGGGCTCACGTTACTGGCTGAACCAGGTGGCTCAGCATGGACAGAAATGTTCTCGGTCCGGTGACCAACTAGAACGTTAGCTGGACCTCCGGTGACCCTATTATCATGATCAGGGGGCATCATGGTGTGGGTGTGTGTGTGTGTGTGGGTGAGAGAGAGAGGGTTGGGTACTTAAGACATGGATGAAGAGGAGGAAGAGAAGAGAGAGATGATAGCAAAGACCCAAAAACCTTTAATGGCCTAAGTTAGGAAGAGATCGAATGCTCACATGCAGGAACTAGTAACGTGACCTTTAAAGTGAAGAAGGCACGAGAAGCAGATTATATGAGTCATTATATAGCTTTAGGAAATAGTGAGAGACCCATTAGAATTTGAGTCTAGGAGGGATGTACACTGATTTGTTTCAACGTCCTTTTCCTCTTTTTGAATATATTTGTGTATTTATGAGTGTAGTTACAGCTTCTCTCCACAGTATAAACATAAATATCAATGTTCATCCGAAAAGAAATTCATGAATTGCATGAACAGTCATGCCTTAATTGCTTTATATTTATCAGCCAACATCTCTAAATCTTTTCATATGGCAAATTCTTGTAATGACTTAGTATGTATATGTGATATTTCCATTGCATGTACTATATACGAGATTTGTGTTATAACCATGAGTTTAAAAGATACGTGATTCGGAGGATTTTTCGTCACAAAAAAAGGGCAAAACTAGATGATACAACACAAATCCATGCCAAATTGCAAACTGGTTGGCAATCATCCACCTCTTGAGGGGCCAGGTATAAAACAATTATACTTCATGGCCCATTTCCTTAATATAAAGACGTAATGTACTGGTACCGTTGGATGGTAGTAGGTCTCAATACTAGATGGGGATCATTGTAAATCCAACAATAGCAGTGCATTATGTTCCAAAGCTATGTCCCTAAATTAAGTCAAAGTAGTATTCTATGTCTAAATTGTCGAAAAATGGTTCACAAAATGATAATCTTAACCATGTGTTGGCAGAGAATATAGCAAATTGTATCTCTTTATTTGGAATATTCATTCACTGATAGAAAGATGATCCGCGCCTGAAAATAAATCTTTTGATAGAATACATACCCCTTTTCCAAAATTCTGTATCATTATTTCCATATTTGAATCCACAAACATTTCTAGTCCTTGAACTTTCCTAATGAATTTTTCTGTAGGCCAGCAAGAAGAATGTTAATGGGACCATATTCATCCCACACTGGCAGCAACAAAAGCCCACGTACAATAATAATTTTTTTTTGCTTCATGCTCATATCGACAAACAATTTTATGCTTCATGCTCCTAATCACCTTTCCTTAATATTCTTTGTACTTAGTACATAGATATTTAACTTTAAAATGTATATGTTTTAATTTTTTTTATATTAATTTGACCTGAAATACAATAGAGTAAGCGATAGTGTACTTGAGAATGTGATCTACGACAACAATCATTTAAGAAAGAAAAGCAATCAAGAATAATGAACAAAAGAATTTGTATGATTCGATAGAATTACACTCCGCTAGACTCCACTTTGTTAGCTAGTCGTTAGATTTTTAGGTACAATAAATATGAATCATCTACTATTTTTAACCCAAAAAAAAAAAGTGTTCACTTCTTTTGGAAAGCCAAAAACAAAAGCTAGCTTTTCAAGATGTGAGGATGATAGTTACCTCGTTTATCTCTCTTGGTAGTATTTATCTGGAATCTTTCGAGCATTAAACTATATTATATATTTTTGAATTTTTTTTCTCGATAAAACCATTTTTGTTTATATAATTAAAATAATGTGGCAAAGTGAAAGTCATAATTATCAATCCACTTAGGTGTTGGACTGAAACAGAAGTTGAACCGACTCCAATTTCTTTTTATCCTCTCTTTCATCATAAAAGTAGGGTATCTCCTTTCTGATTGTCTAAGAAGAAAGTGAAGTGCTGGTTCCTCTAGCCTTTCTATGTGTCATTTATTCATTCAATGGGAAAGATAGTGGCTGAGATTGTGTCGTGTTTCCTATAAAAGGCTTTGTTGAAAGTGCATGGTATCACCATCAATGAAAGGTCCTTGCAGTCTTTTTTGATTTGTGGTATCTGCAGGCAGCTGTTGCTTGATGCTGTGATTATGCAAATTATGGGTTCGACAACAGTGTTAGAAAAAAAATGCATATTCAGTATAAGAGATTTTTTTGTTATTGTGAGATTTTAGGAGGGTTAGATATATGTAGTCTTACCTCTGTAAACAGAAAACTATTTTAATAACTTAAACTCATGACCTCCAGATTACAGTAGAACAATCTTACCGATACGCCAGGGCCCGTCCTCAAAGGACGTACCCGGTGCATGAGGCCTCCACTACTACAGGGTCTGAAAACAGTTAGATGTACATAGTCTTACTTCTGCTTGCAGAAAGACTGTTTCCACAATTCAAACTTGTGATCTTCACGTCAAAATGAAACAATCTTATCGTTGCGTCAAGACCTGTCCTCATATTTATTATGATACTTTCACTTTTATAAATTTAAAACATGATGTGTCTAGTTTTTTTAATATTCTTATTATGTTATTAATTTTTCAATTAATGGGGGTAAATCATCCAAATTCTAATTAATGACTACAAATCTATTTCTATACCGTACAATAATTTGAAATACTTTTCTTGTGTATTCTTGATAAACCAGCCTTTAATGCTATAACCCCATCCACAAATTACCCTTACCAAATGCTGGTTAGGCAAAGGAGTTGATACAAGGTCTACTAGAGCACAGAAAAAACAAATGCATGATTTGATAGGGTTATTGTATAGGAATAGGTTTTAGATAAGAATAGTTTATATTCATCAGTCTTCCTTGTAATCGGTGTTTTTTCTGATGTACATTCTTGCTGTTGGCTTGATTTGTTATGAACCATAAATCAGACAGCCCAACAACCTTATCCCACGGTTAGGCTCTTTCTTTCCTCGAGAGCAGGAAGCACACCAACAGGGTGCGTTGTGTGATTCTACTATGTGTTTTTGCACTTGACTGGGTTCGACTCACGTTTAATGCAATCTATGAAACTGTATATTTGAATTCAATTTGAATATTTCAAATCAATTATTGCACAGCTTTAAAATTTAACTCCAATTATGTAACCTGGATTGAGTCACGTATTAAAATCGGTTTTACATTCTGGTTCAAATTTTGGGTTGAAAATCGGAGGTTTGTTTTGTGTTGAAATTAGATTTAATTCGGGATTACTCAATTTGAACTACAATTCGGGTTGAAATTTTGGATTGAGCAATACAATTTGAACTTAAAAATTTAACCTTATTTGCTGACTTAATTCACCATAATATTTGGATTGATTGTAAGTCCATCAACTATTGGAATTAGGAGTGTTCACCCTACTTACGATAAGAATTATGGTATTCTATCTTCCTATCCAATACTCTGCAGAAAATTTTTTTTTTGACCAACCTTATCTGATAAAGTGTATTATTCTTACCCGAATTTCGTTCAAAACAATTGAGTAGTCGAGTAGGAAATTAGGTGAATACGTATTTTTTATTTATTAATTTTTGGATCATTTTAATAATTTAATTAAGTAACATGTATCAATTAACTAACACAGTAAACTAATAACACTAAAAAAACACAATAAATTCAATAGTACATAAACAATTGTAATAAAACAAAACAAAGAAGTCATAAATATCAATACATCATATATAAGAAGTCATAAACATCAATAAAATATTAAGGTTCCTAGATTTTTGGATTTTAATTTTTAGGAATTAACATATATATTTATTTTAAAATATAAAGACACACATATATATGTACGGGATAGGGTGAGGTAGGAAAGAAATACCGAAATTTTGTAAGTATTCTGCATTCTTACCCATTTTTTGTGGAATATCAAAAAATCTTTCGTTGGCCTATCTGATTCTATCATGTAACTGATCAGTAAGGTTTGGTAGCCTAAGGTGGGATCGAAATTTATAAGTAATCAAAAATTTGAACAACCTCTAATTGAAACTTTGTATTAATCTAATAGTTCCAATTAAGCTACATTATTAGTTCAACAAATAAGGTCAAATTTGTAGGTCTAAATAGCATTACCTTTTTGGATTTGATTCCTAAGTTAAACAAAACTGGCGTTGAGAATTCAGAGTCAAATTTACGCCTCCGAGTTGGGTCCTAAAAATACGAGGCCTCAATCTGAGCATTGTTTGAATTTAAATTAATTGCAGCGAGACTTTTTTCCAAGCTCAACACTAATGAAGATTTTGTGTTGGCCCCAAGTTAAGTTCGAATCAATCCACCCAAGTCGTAGCTCCTAATTCGCCATAGTGGACCAAGCCACCAAACGAGATTAACAAGTTGCCCTCCTTGAAGCTAAACTGCCTTCACATTTTGATGGGACAAAAACAATGTATTAAGCAATTACATCATGATCATCAAATTGTACTTTACAAGTTTACATGAATGACTCGATCCAAAGCATAGTTGCAAATGAACACATTCCCAATCGAAAAGTTGTTTTATCATGCACAAATTATGAATTTTAAAGACAACATAGAGATGAGGAGACGTGCACGAAACTGTGTCACGTATTACAAGGAAACATGTGGGGGACATTAGAGAAAAACAATGAAAAAGTGTATCAAAAATGCTTAGATAATGCATCACACAACACTTTCATTTGTTTTGTATCAGGACGTTTCTGTGTCATTTCCTGATGTTGTTCCACCTTCTTTTGTTATGAAGTTTGTGGAGATGTTTTTGTGTTCTAAGCTTTTCAGTACACTACAGTGGCCATTCAGATCCCACCCTAGCCATTTTCTTCAACACTATAAAAACAAAAAATCATCGACTATATATGGAAGTACTTGATTGAGACACCTACATGAGAGGATGAATATATTTTAAGACAATAGCCATAATGCACACGTCACATTCGAACGCGTGTTGAATTTCACATCGGATATATATTAGGATGATTTGAACACTATGAAATAGATACAAATACGGAATATAAATACGATACGATACGGATATGTTGATACGAAAAAAACTAAAAAAATAAGACACGAATGCGGTTATGATACGTCTATAATATAATATATTTCATATTTTTACTATTATCTACCAACTTATTAAGTGTATATCCTGTGTCTCTTTAACATACTAACCAAAATTGGCAATTTTTTCACAAAAGTATATGTCATATCATTATGGTATACTTACAAAGTTAAGTGACTAATTAAAAGAATTAAAACTAATATTTTCATAAATTATTTACTTTATTT